CTCTACTATACCGTGATACGGAGTATTATTGTCCGCGTAACATTAAAAGTACTATTAAGGTAAAATTAAAGCGTTTTCAATCGATTGCCGAATAACTAAGAGTAACGCACATTTATTTATTCATTTATTTATTTATTTATTTTTTTCTCTCTCTCATTTCTCTCTGTTTATTTTGCGTTGATATCACACCGATATACAACGATCTAGCCACGGAGGTGTTACGTCCCGAGACGTAACTATTTCTTCATTTTGATTTCATCAGCAATCAATTGAAAACCGAAATAATGTATAAACGACGAACGGCATTTTTTACAAAATACAAACTCAGCGAAATTAAAAGATGAGTAGTCCGAAAATTTGGGGCGCCCGACATTTTGATTTTTTGATTACTCAACACATTAATATGGGCCAAGAGTCAATATAAAAACAGAAGACTCGACTTTTCGGCAGTTGATTCGCGACGCGCGACTACTCAATAACATTAAAATTTGTTACAGTTCTCACGAGCTGATTCGCGACGCGCGACAGCCGAATAACGTATAATTCACTTATTGTTATTTTTGAGAAATCATTTCTGTCTTTGAATAAATAAATAATTACTTGAATCGAGTGTTCGTGCATCATTACCGACCGACCTCATATATACTTCATCGAGATAGAGCTAAGCAGCCAATTTAACTCCAAATAATAACCCAGGTAAGTTCCTGTCACTATAATAATTACTAATAAATGAATGATTATACATATTCTAAAACTACACGTCACGGCTACATAGTCGCGACATAACACAGTTGTGGGCAAAAGTGTCCGGCCAAAGTTGTTTTTATGTTTTGATCATGTATAAATGATGCAAAGTAACAACACAAACATATCTTAGTAAAGTACTTTTATTATGCATTCAAATCATGTTGTCCAACAATTTGTTATAATGCTTAACTAAATTTTATATTGATAATAGAAAATATGACTTATTCATAAGTATCCGGCCAACTATTACGTAGATACAATTCGCGTGGCTTTGTTTACATTATCGGTCACAAAGGTATGCAAGCACTGGAACTGTCTATCAGTTATGCTCTGACATCAGTATCAATCGGTAAACATGCCGAAACGCACGTCTGTAGATATTCGACAAGTCGCAATTAAATTACACAATGAAGGAAAGGTTTCTCGTGATATATCTAAAATTCTAGGCATAGGAAAATCGACTGTGAATGATTATTAGATTCCACAGCACTAACACTCTGAAAGATAAAAAAAGTTCTGGGAGACCAAGAAAAACCACTAATCGTGTTGACAAATTGATCAAAAGAAAAGCTGTCGTAGATGTTAAAAAGAATGCTGCCATTATTGCACGCGAATTACGCGAAGAAAATGTAGCAGACGTCAGTCGTAGTACTGTATCACGTAGACTGAGAGAAGTGGGACTTGTTGGACGTGACGGTATGAAAAAACCACTTATTAGTAAGAAAAACAAGAAGGCCAGACTAGAATTTGCTAAAAAATATGAAAGCTATACTGTTGAGGACTGGAAAAAAGTGCTGTTTTCGGATGAAACTAAAATCAATCTATTTGGAAATGATGGTAGAAGGTATGTACGGCGACCGGTAGGTAGTAGATATGATTCAAGATACCAAATACCGACTGTGAAGCATGGTGGAGGTAGCATAATGCTATGGGGTACATTTTCATGAAAAGGCGTCGGTCCAATCTTTAAAATAGAAGGCAATATGGACTCCGTCATGTACAAGGATATTATATTGGAGCAAATGCTACCTTATGCTCGACAAAACATGCCCAGAGGATGGATATTTCAGCAGGATAATGATCCAAAACACAGGTCACACCTACTTCAGCAAGTTTTTAGTAAGAAACAAATTCGAGTTTTACAGTGGCCGAGTCAGTCTCCAGACTTAAATCCTATTGAACACTTATGGCAAGAGCTAAAAATGAGATTAGGAAATCAAAACTATGCTAATAAACCCTCCCTATGGCAAAAAGTGCAAGAAGAGTGGAACAATATCTCTCATGATAGGATTGTGACACTTATTGAATCGATGCCTCACCGATGTGCTGCCATGATAGCTTCTAAGGGTATGGCTACGAAGTTCTGATGACTGTGTTACATTTAAAACCATTTCTAGTTTGTTTTGTTTCATGTTACTATATTTTTTCTACTTGTAATTGTCACATTCATAGTTGGCCGGATACTTATGAATAAGCCATAATTGTTATTATCGATATTAAATTTTGTTGATTGTTAAAATGGATTGTTAAATTACATGTTTTGAGTATATAATAAAAGTACTTTACGATGATGTATTTGTGTTGCCACTTTGCACCCTTTGTACATGATTAAAACATAAAAACAACTTTGGCCGGACACTTTTGCCCGCAACTGTATCTACTTAAAACTCATCTTGTCACGCGTATATCATGCGCACATATTCGTGTCACGGCTAGATCTCTTCGTTTTAGTATCAGAAATAAGTAATACGTTCAAATAGTTGGTTATATTGAGGGCCACGATCACAAAAGAACAAAATATTGATAAAACATCGATTTCACATAAAGTTATTTCACGTCATTGGCATGGTGTAGGATTGTTATGGGGATTCGCACATTGACATGACTTATGTCACGATTTTCCATTATGGTTAGTTATCTATCTAAAGTTTAATCAATATGATCCTTGAAGGGCCGCGAGTAGGGTATGCGAAAGATTGAACAAAATTTAGGTTATTTCATTGAAAAAGTTCCAGTTTTCAAGGTTTTAACGGCCTTTTTTTTTAAATAAAAAAGACTTGGGCACTTAATTTTTTGTATAAATGTTAGTAATAGGATGCTCTATCGAAATGGCATATAAGTATTTGCTTACAATTTCACATAGCTACAATAATTGCAGTGTTATGGCTATTTCACAAAAGTTAAAAGTTCCGTGGATTTGCCCATATATGATTTCTAATGTTTTCCGTAGTCTCTCTATTTTGATGATGGATTGGGATAATAAAATGCATCTTGTTCCCTATTTTGATTACAGTGGGAACGGCTAATTGTAATTTGTTCATTTGTGGTAGTTTATCATGCTTAAATAAGCTGAGTGCATCTTTATCCAGGGGGTACCAAAGGTGTCAGTGAAGTATAAGTAATTGTCTCGCCTCATAAGTAGAGCGTCCCGATAATAAATAATGTTTTCATTAGGTAACGTCAAGAGTTCGGTAGGGGAGTTGACTGAGTCTTCAAGTATCACGTCTTTTAAAAAGGTCATATCCTGTTTTGATTGTGTATCCTGTTTATATTTAGAGTCTTCATTATGCGTATTATATTGGGTGCCAATTTTATTGCCTTCGGAGCAGTACGTGTTTTCAGCAACTGTAGGATAATTAGTATGCGTGTCTGGTTCTGTTACTGGCGTGTCCACTTCCTAAGGAGGCGGATTCTTTTTCTGACGCGACAGGAAGGACTTGATGGCTTCCAGGTAATTTTTACTTGGTTGTCGGCCCCTCGCGCGTCGCGTAGTCATGTCGTGCGTATTTCCTGGCCTTCTGGGGTCATCATCTAGTTGAGCTGTAAAGACCAGTGTTTGAACCGGATCTTCCCTAGTTGCTTGCAAATGCTTATTGAGCTGTTCAATTTCCTGTATAGGATTTTGAGAGAGTGCGTCTACATTGACATTCGACGCGTCTTTTTTATATCTGACTTCGAAATTAAAATTTTGTAGCAATAGTCGCTGATGAGTTGCTTGTGAATTTGGATCGCTTATCGAGTATAAATGTACCAATGGTCTATGGTCAGTAATGATGATGAATTTTCGGCCGTACAAATATGGTCTGAATTGTGAAATACTCCATACTATTGCTAATAGTTCGAGTCGAATAGCAGGGTACTACTACTACTACTACTACTGTAATTTCCATATTAAACCATATGAAACATTTAAACTCGCGATATCAGTTAATTTGGTTTTCCTAAATTTCGGATTAATATATTTTCGAGATTTGTCTAATCGGTCTTTTATTTTAGAATTTTCAAATGATTAAATTTCATATTTAGGGATTTAAAAATACGATATTTGTATATTCCGTGTTTTGAAATTACGCAAATCAATAATTCCAGAAAATAAGGCAGTAATTTTTTCGGATTTCGAAATTTTTAAATGATTAAACTTTCAAATTCCTACATTACGCAATATCGATTATTTCGTTTTAACTTTTAGAAATATTGGTTTAGAATATAAATGCACTATATGTTGGCCTTTATATCTCGACCATGTATACACGTATGTAACATGTGTTAGCGTATCATGAATCATTGTATGCGAAGCTTGCGTGATATAATTAGCTTGCGTGACTAAAATTCTGTTGAAACGGTTTTTTGGAGTTAATGAATTTGGACCATGTGTAATAAGAAGCATAGCTTTAGAAATAATAAAAATATTGATGCTATCATTAATATGAATATGAATAAGCAATGCCATGAGGTTTATTGAATTAATGCTATCATTCTTAATTTGGAATCGAGTTAGAAAAACAGCTGATAATCTGAAATTGTATGTAGAAAGATTTTTCGCTTTAGTATTAATAAGAAAAGACATATCTATGCTCATTAATATTTATAATTCTATTATGAATCTTATTAAGAACTGATTGGCTTATTCATAACATATTTAGGTACGATATTTTCCTTTATTGTTCTGTTGACAAAATGGTTTGCGCTAATAAACAGCACATTTTGCAATAATTGGATTATAAATAATTTTACCTCCACCACGGACAATAATATTTTTATTTTATATTCTAACTTTTTGCTTGTTTTCTTTTTTATTAGTAAATTTTTGAGGAGATTTAAGAATTCATAAAAATATCAAAACATGCTTTTATCATTTCTTAACTTACATTGATCGAGCCTAATTTTTTTCAATTTTATGAAAAGGCCCAGACTTTAATCGGCCTTTTATTTAAAGTATTTTTACAGATAAACCTTATGTAATTTTAACTTACCACTGTAACAGCATCATTTAAAAGACTCTCGCCGAATACTACAATATACAATACTTCATTGACGTGTATTTCTTCAAATACTGCAAGAACTGCCACAGGATCTACCGCACTTATCAAAGCCGCAAATAAAAACATGTCAAGTATTGGTGTATCACATGAGAAAATGCCACTGTTGCCAATCAGCCATAGTGATATTCCTAAATAAGAAAAGAAGCATTATTTTAATAAAATGTTTAGTAAATGTTTTGTCTTATCCAATAATGTTTCAGAACTTGAATAAAAGTATATCTATGCTCTTTTACGATATGTTAACAAACTTTCGCAAAAGTTAAAAACTAGGCGACTGTAGGCATTGTAATCTGAATAATGTCTACATATTTTTCAACAGACTATAATAGAACTAATTTTTTTATATTCTAAGCGACAAATTTTAGTGTACATATTGATTGAACGACACAGTAGTGATGAAAAACTTAAAAAATAATCGTCCATTTTGAAAGTTTCCTACTGAAACTCGGAAATTTAATTTCATTCAGGTAATTAAATTTATCGCAATTAATAGTGAATAGTATACGGGAAAGTATAGAACGTTCTAGCGCTTAACAAAAATGAAGGTAATTACAATCATATGATGATAATATCAGATAAAGTTACCTAACCTTCATTGCTGTAAATAAAATGTTTTGTTGTCAACCAAATTCCATGTTTGATGAAATAGCAAAAAATCTAAAGAACACATGAACCTCTTGGAACTAAGAGCTATATTTGACGGCTTAAAATGCTTTGCAAAGTAAAAATAGATTACGATATTTCGTTTAAAATTGTCAACACCACAGTGATTGCAGCCATAAATCGAATAAGAAATATTTAACTTTCATGTCTGAAGAGTTTACTTCAGTGACGAATTCTTGAGACAAAAAAGTCTTAAACGGAAAAAGTACAACTCTAGATTTCGACAAAAGGCTATAGCGGGATAAGGATGTTAAAATTGCCCCTGCCTGTATTTTTATTTGGAGTCAGTCGTTCGAGAGGACATACTTGAAAACTTCTTCAGCCAAATTTTCAGCCCCCTAGGTGGTAATAGGACCCTACAATGATAAAAAACGTGTTTTTTCGAAAATTTTTTTTTTTACATTACTGCACGTTCAAAAAAATCTGAAAATATTTATGATGGTATACTATTGTACGCAAAAGAGCCTGATTTTTTCAGATTTTTTGGATCGAAAATCAAGTCAGAAAAACTTTTTAAATTTTTCGATGAATTTTTTAATTATGAACAATATACTTGGCTAACTTCTAGATATTACTTTTTTCTGTACCTTTTTCCGTTCTTTTGAATGCCGACCTCAGAATCACCATTTTCTGACCGAAACTTGCTCAAAATTTGAAAAAATCGATTTTTTTCGGCATTTTTACCATGTTTTTAGCACATAACCTTAATATTATATAGTTCAAAAATAATAGATACTGAACAATACTCCAAAATTTCTTTTACAAGCACAGAATATTTTTAAAACAGTCAATTTTATCACAAAATCTCCAAAGGACCTGATTTCATAACTCACATTAATATTTTCATATTATAAAATAATATGAACATATTACGTGTGCTATACTAACACAAATGTGCTCACACACACATACATATCGAAACGACTCTCCGGTAAAATGAAATTTCTAACATTGGCGACGCTTTCAATGACAAAGATATTGCACTTTTGATCATTACATTACACAGCGGACTGTTGTGCTAATCGATGCGCGCATGCGATATCGAACTCGAGGTCATGATCGAGTGATCATGCGTCGCGGCATAGAAACTCTCATTTCCAAAGCACCTTTTATCTGCCGATATTTTTCGGTTGCTTCCTTTGTTGTCAGATTTCAATCACGGCTTCTTCGAAACTCGAAAGCAACACTACGAATATGATTGTTTACTTAAAAATGAGCGTGTAAGAGAAGCGTGCGCTGCATCAAGTTGAGTGACGATCTAGAATTAAAATTAAATTCGAATGTTTAAAATTGCTGTGATCACTGCCTCTAAACTCACAAAAATGTATACATCGCTAAAAATGATGGTAAATGCATTGTGACAATCAGACTGGTTGAAGGTTACCTCTCGAAGCTGATTGTCGAAGATGGACATTGAGCGTCCCTCACTCCGTTGTTTGAGCCAAATGTCGGCACCATCAAACAACGCAACACGAGCCACTAAAACACGGCACGATTTCTAACGCGCGATGGGAGTTATCACAGACTTCAACTCGAGCGAATCGACGAGAGCAAGGAGCAGTTGAAACAAGAATAATGAAGCCTCATTGACAGGTGGTCAAGAAGTTTACGCCTTAGATATTCGTGCGAAGAAAGGGAAATTAAGATAGGAGAGATTTTTTTTTATCGGACTCGGCTGGCGCGGCTACGCGTTTCAATTAATCTAGCTCCGTTATTTGAATAGGCAAGTCGCATATCGTTTAACACGCGTGCGTTAGCTTAAAATTCAACTTCCAATTGTACTTTTGTAAAAAATTGCTGATATGATTCTCGTTCCGACATAAATTTAATCTTTATTTTTATTCTATAAATTAATTTAGTTTGCGATTGAGGATTCCAATGTTCATAAATGTAAATTATAGCTTTAATTTCTATTGTAACCTTTTACTTTGGTCACGAGTATACCGATTTGTTTGTTAATTTAAGTTGGTTATTTGTGAGTTCAATGAATCCGACGTTCATTTATGTCAAATTATAACATTTCTATCCTTAGTCTTTCTCACCCGAACAGTGTGTTAAAAAAAAATTACACAAATTCTCAATTTGGCTTATGGCTTAATTCTTTTGTTGCAACTTTAAATCATTTTTTTCAAAATTACGCGAACTAGCGTGACATTAAAAATACTAAAATAAAAATTTGTATTTAAAAATGTCATCAAAATTACTACGACTATTATTGAACAGATCATTTCTTTAATTTTAAGCCCAAGTGTTTATTACTTTTCTAACTAAATATAACTCAAAAAGACAAAATTATGAAAGATAAAAAAAATTAAAACTCATAAAGATTCTTTGTAAGTTTTAATTTTCTATAAATATTCGTCGAATGTTTATGGAATCTTTGTGAGTTTTAATTTTTGGGATCTCTCTGACAACTTTGTCTTTATTTAGAATATGGAGAGAAAAAGTGAATGTATTTTTTAACTAAAGTATAGACTACTGTAACGGTCCAGTCTGATTTGTCCCCCTCTGCAAAATAGCAACCCGTCGTGCACGAGAGAATCAAAGAAAAGCGATAATTGAGCAAAGGCGCTCTTCTCACATATGTATATGTAAATGTATTAGGGCAACTCAGCGAAAACAAGACCATATAAGGAGCGTGACATCACGACCGTGGGAAATTTATTGTTTATAATGCAAAAATTTCAAATGAACAAAAGCATTTTTTTTAGTCAATTTTGATGCGTTGATCTTGAATTTCATGTTGTTATAGTTCTCAAATCCGTATTTATTAGTTTAATTTAATTTACAAGTTAATAGTGTTAGTTATTTTGCAATAAATAATTATATTGTTAATTCGAATATGCGATTACGTTCGTAACGTATTGAAACAGAGAAGCAAGAATTTGACACTTTGGTAACCAATTTTTCACTGAGTTATCAATAAATAAAAAATTTATAATTTATTTAAACAATTAAAATTGCGTTGTTAGATAGCGAGTCGATTGTATATATCTGTAAAATTAATGATAATGATTGTCACTAATTTGCTGATTTTTAAATGGCTAAAAAAGAAATTTGCCAATTCGTTTTTTAATTATTATTCAAAAGTGGATAGCTATATTAATCGTTTTTAATTTAAATAATGTTCCACTAATCACTAGCGATTTTTTTATGTAAAAATTTTTCTTAAATTTATTGTAAAATTGGCGTTATTTGATTATCAAACTTATAACTCTAAAAGACGATTTTTCCTCGAGAAACGATTTATGTTAAAAAATTCGTTATTTCATATCTAACTTTTTAAATCATAAAATTGCTATTTCGATCGAGCCATTTTGCGACAAAACATGTGCAAAGTTTGTATCAATTTCAAAAATAGCGTTGTAGGGGCTACCAAGCGTAGAAAGGAGCCGATTTCGCAAGTATAAATTCGCTCGTCGCTGCAGCAAGAGGATTCACTATCCTACCTTGCTTAGCAGCGCGAGCATTGATTGGAAATAAAAGCTCAGCAATTTTCTGAGACTAATTTCTTGATTCAGTGGTTAGCCTGCTAATTCCTCTCCTTTCGATACCTAAGTGCTCAACTCATAAGACTACCTCTCTTATGAGAAAAAAGTAGCCTTAGATATCTCCTCTTCTCAAATTTATTAACTGTTAAGAAATTAAATTGAGTATTGGTTGCGGCGCTGTCGGGCCTCTCCCCGATAGATGTAATCACACTCAGTTGTATTTCAAAACGATTCATCGAAATAGAAAACTTTGCGTTTGCTATTCGATGAATTTTGATATCTCATTTCTTATAGAATATATACGTGTCAACTTCTTGCTACTCTCGGAAACGCGATTATAAATACAATACAAAGAGTCTGTACTATCTATTCAATAACGCGAGAAAGACTCAAACGTTACACGACATTGTTTATTTCTTACTAGTAAAACTGAAATATTTGTAGACTTTATATGTATATTTTTATACTTTTTGCAAGATTACGCGGAAAGAGTTCATACTGTATCAATTATATTAACAACTGCTAATATTGACAAGAATATTCAATCAGTCTCTTTTCGTCAATGAACTGTAATTTTCATTATTGTGTAAATGTTCTATTTTCTTTTTCACGATCAAAGATACTCAATTATAATAGGTTATTTTATCTATATTGTGAGGCATGATCATAGCATACTACATTTCTTTTACACGTGAGTAAATGAAATTAACTTTCTTCTAGTCAATTCATCATCATTATTTATTTAGTCTATTTCTTCTATGCCTACAAAAGTACTATATATAAATTAACAAAAGAAAGAGGATAATATACTTTGAAACTAGAATACGGTCTATTTTCAAATATTACAAATTCAGCTAAATAAGTTATATTATGTTGAACCAATTATGTAACGTAGTCTATGCTAATATGTTTTTTTTCACCAAACAAGGCTTTCAACAATTTTGTCTTACACTGAATTTAATAACGTGTATACT